CTTTGGTCGCAAGTTTTAAATTATATATATATTTATATTTTATAAGTTTTATAAAATAATAATAAAATTATTAAAAAAAATTATGTAGGTCCCACTTTAGCGACCAACATTGGTCACTAATCTCAGTATATTTTTGACCAAGCAAGTCTGACCAGTCCAGTCAACAGTTTGACTAAATTTGCGGCCAAATAGCGACCAACTTTGGTCGCTAAAGTATTTCAAATATTTTTTTTATTATTTTCGGCAGTTTAGCGACCAACTTTGGTCGCTTTTCTTGACAGACCAAATTTGGTCGCTAATCTTTGGTCGCTTTTTACAGGAATTCTAGTAGTGTTTGGAGCGCAGGTGCGGCTCCGCTCCTGCGTGAACCCGATCGCTTCTGCGAAGGCCTGCACGCAAGTGCGAATGCCACTTTTGCGGTCCAGCGATCGCACCTACGAAGAAGCTCGCTTCTGCGTCCCTATTCACGTTTCTGCGGTGTCGCTGGCGCGGCTGTAATTCCGCATATGCGGATCCAGGCCTGACTATCAAAGTTTGCAAATGCGTATGCGCATGTGCGCTTCCTTGTCCGCAAATGCGAAACTCCTAGGCAGAATTATATAAGTCGAGGGTTTGGTCATTTTCTTCATATTTTGAGTTTTAGACCTCGATTTTGGGAGCTTCTTTGTCGGGTTTTCAAGTAAATCGATTGGGTAAGTGTTCTTCACCTAGAATTTATCATATTCCATGATTTCACCTTAATTTTTATCATTTAACTTGTGTTTTGAGTTAAGGGAAATGGAGGTTTTTGAAGAAAATTCTCAAAATGAAAAAAATCATGATTTGTGAGACGAATTAGTATCGGAAATTGATAATTTTAGTATGGTTGAACTCGTATTGGAATGGGTGTTCGGGTGTAAAATTTGTCGGGTTCAGAGGTTCGGGACGGGAGTTCGACTTTCGGGCCGATTTTTAGATTTTGTTAAACATTGAGACTTTATGATCTCGAATAGTTTCTTATGAGTTTTATTTGTGCTTTGAAGTTATTTTGGTTAGATTTGAGCCGCCCGGAGGTCTTTTCACCCGAGAAGTTCATTTTAGAGTATCAGTTTGTGTTCTTTGAGGTAAGTATCTTGCCTAACCTTGTGTGGAGGATTTTCCCTTAGGATTTGAGTCTTCTATGTTGATTTTAGTCCGTGTACGCGGGGTGACAAGTGCGTGCTCGGACTTATTCGTGGAAAGTTGGCCTTTTAGGGTTCTTAGGTCCTTGTATTCACTAAGTATGAAGTTGTTCTTGATATGATTGAGTTTCCTATTTACTAGTTTCACCTCTACATGCATTAATTGAAATTAATTGCTTTGTGATTCACTCTTAATGCCTATTTGACTCTTATTTGACTTAATTGAAGATTTTTACCTCTCCTATTGTCATGTTATCTTTTCATAACTGCTTGTCTTTATTGGAAATACTATTTTCTCTACTGTAATTGTTTAGTCTTAATGGAGGTTATGATTATCTTTTCGCTGCTCATCCTTAATTGAATTTGTTGTATATTCTTCGTAATTTCCCAACCTTAAAAGAAGTTTAGATATCCTATATTTAGTTGACATGTCCTTATTTCAAATTATTGATTCGTGTTAGCTTTCTTATTGTTGAACTACATATTGTGGGATCGTTGTTACATATTATTTTTTTTCCCTCGTTGAGTTGTTCTTATTACGCCTAGTATTCTCTATTGTGGTTATTCCCTCGTGAGCTAGTTTTGCCGTCTCTTTGTGATCGAAAGTTCTTGAGTTGATTTACTTGCCGTATTCTTGTATTTATTGTTATTGTTGCTGTCATACTTGTTTTGTGATGCACGAGGTTTCTGTCGTGCAGTTGTTATTGTGATGCACGAGTTTGCCGTGCGGCTGTTGCTATTGGGATGCACGAGGTTTCTGCCGTGCGAGTGCTATTGGGTTTCTTGAGGTTTCTGCCGTGCTATTGTCACTGTTGATATTTTTACATACGACGTGACAAGGCGGGACATATATATATATATGTGTGGTGGGGGGGGGGGGGAGGGGTTGCGCATGTGGCGAGTCAAGGTGGGAATATTATTTTGCACGCGTGGCGAGACAAGGCGAGCATTACTTTACTATTGCACACGTGGCGAGACAAGGTGGACTACGTCAGGGATTGATTTGTAATAGCTTGGGGGCATTCTTGTTGTTGATATTTGTGTAGTGGTACACTTATCTGTGTGAGCTTTATCTTGTGAAAGTTTTGAGAAAATATGCTACGTGTTGTCCGTTCTTTTTCTTATGCTTACTAGCTGGTATGAATTATGTTAGGACACTTGCACAAGCATACACGTAATTAAACACTCTTATCGAATAATACGTCTTCATGATATTGTTGAGTATAGATGCACACCCTTGTTTACTTGCCTTCTATGTGAGAATGACTCTAATTGGCACGTGAGTCATCATTGTGGTTATGAGGTGTGATGAGTCACATGATGCCACGTGTTGGGGTTCGGGTATTGAGACCCGTGAGTTGCGATTTGTCCGAGGTTCGGTACCTCGTGGAGTTTGTTGACTAAAACCTGATGTGAAAGTGGTCGTAGTTGCTGAGTTATTGCTTGTCCTTGATGTATCTGTGATTTCGGATTTAGGTTGTGTTTCCATTCACTCTTCTGTGTCAATATCATGGTGTTTCGCTGATACTTGTTCTTTCCTTTCTTATTGAAATTGATGTATAGTTAGCCATATCGCATAGTCGTTATGTAGATATCATACTCTGTTGTTCCTATACTTATACTTGTTCAGGTTATTAGACTAGTAGGTGTCTTGACTGTTCCTCGTCACTACTCCACTGAGGTTAGTCTTGATACTTACTGGGCAACCGCTGTGGTGTTCTCATGCTACGCTTCTCCACATTTTTGTGCAGATCCAGGTATTTGATCGTTAGTAGTTGTGTGGATCGTCGTTGTTGTGACTCAAGGTAAACATGCTGCTGCGTTCGCATGCTACATAGTCATCTTCTTATTTTGTATTTACATTGTTCGCTCTTGTTTCGAGACAGTTGTATTTTTGAGGGTTTTTAGCAAACTCTGTAGAGCTTATGACTTGTACTACCGGTTTTGGGGTTGTAAAGTTTAAAGAGATTTCTATTTCAAATTGTTAGATGTTATTTAAATATTGTTGTTATTTATTTAATGTTAGGCTTACGTAGTCCCTAAGACTAGGTGTCATCACAATACCCAATGAAGAGGAAATTGGGTAGTGACAAACTGTGTATAATATTATCAAGAATATTTTTGAACTTTTTAATTTTAACATATCATATTGTTCTGAAAATTGACTGTCATCGGGTGAAATAGGAGGATAGAAATTTGGAATTTAAAATACCACTAATAAAAGAATGATATTTCTCTAACAACTTGTTTGGTTGGTTGTTACACGCCGTTTCATAATGTATCGTATTGTATTGTATTATAATGTATTGTTTGATTAATACAATGTTTGAATAGATTGTATCGTTTGCCATTGTTTCATGATATCATGCACCAGCAATATGAAGAATAAATTTGTAATATTATAAAGAAAAAAAATAATACGGGGTAAATTTACTATATAAAAAGTAGGGTAAATGATAAAATAAAATAATTTAATAGTAGTGAAGGGTGAGATGAGAGAAAAAGACAAGATAATGACGCAACTACACCAAATCGGTTGTTACATAAAGTGGCACATTTCGTCGTTACGTAACGACGGATTAAACGATACAATACAATAAAATTTAAGTAACAATCAAAATAAATATTGTATTTAAAGTAACAATACGATACAATATAATAAGTAACGATCATCCAACAAGCTGTAACTAAGTTAAAAAGTAAAGCGTGACAAATAAATTAAAATCGAGGGAATAAATAATATCTGGACACGTGAGATGGTCTATACGATCTGAGCACTTCAACTATATCAAAGAGAAATTGTCAAATCTTTTTATCTTGATTACTTTTAAGGATATGATATTTAAGTCTAAAAAATATTCTAAATAACAATCTGAGACCTAAGTTAGTACTTACAATTTTATGTACTGTACATGTCATTTGGTCTCATTGGTGTACGTACGACCTGTATTATCAACACCAATTGGTAGTGGGATCAGGAGGAGCGTAAAAGGCCAAGTTGGCCACAAAAAGATAAAATTTTGATGTTTCTCGACTCAAAATTTAGAAAAACAACATGATATCCTGATGGGAGAACAGTAATTTTGATGGGAGCTTTATATAGTGAATATAAATTATAATCCCAAAAGGAAGTTTGATGTACATAACAAAAAGATGTAGGGGTGTATATGAATAATATGAAGTTAGAAGAATCTTAATTTAAAAAAGTCTATCTCAAGAAACACCTTTTCTTATTGTACTAGGAAAAGCATATGTCCTTCATCATTCATTGATCAAAAGAAAAAGCTACCTCTAAAAGAAAAGTAGCTAGCTGGTTTAAGTGGACGAAAAAACCCTTAGCCCTCTCAACCCCAATCAAAAGCAAATAAAACAAACTTAAAATTTATATGAGAGATACTTTAAATATGGTACTATTACTTTTTCTGTTGTTGTAACACCTTTTTTTATTAATCTATTAAAAAATGACACTTTTTTAATAGTTAAAAATAATTAAATTTCTCATTTACTTCTAAAATTATTTTTTTATAGTCACAAAAATATCATTAAAATTTTTATCACGAATTTCAAAAAATCAGAGTATTTATTTCTTAAATTATCCGCTAAAACAAAGATCGTTATATAAATTGAAAAATAAGGAAACAAAATTTTCATATTTATAAACACATAGTACCTTAAAGTTTTAGTGTTAAATTACTTTGCTTAATATCATTAGTAGTACTATTTTACAACTGGTGGAGCAAATGAGATAGATAAAAGATTGAAATGAAAAAGAAAAAGAAAAAGGAGGAAAAGATACAAAAGAGCATGAAAAAGAAAATAAGAAAAGAAAAGAAGAGGTTGAACCTTGGTTAAAAGGACATTTACTCTTGCCCCTTTTCTTCACTCAAAGCTGTGGCTCAGTCCCCTTCTGTTCTCTGCTTAAACAAGAGAGAGAGAACATTTTCTTTTACTAGCCATGGAAATAGGTCGGAGCTCAAGAAGATACAAATGGGTTACATCATTTCTTGTTATACTAGCTTGCTCAGCTGCTGGACAAGTTGAAGATGGTACGCCCTTCTTCTTCTCTTTCTATTTTGTTCTTTCAAGTTAAACCAAATTAAACTGCATTCTTTTATTTATAAATTAATTTCATACTTGATGGGATTATATACCTGCTTCGTATGAGATCTGATAATGAATTCCTTTTGTCTTCATTTTCAGCTTCAATGTATGTTAATTTACCATTTGGGGACTCAAATTTTAACATTGGTAGAAACATTTAATTGTTAAGCAATATATTTGCTTTAATTTTGTTACCTCCGTCTCAAACAAGATTAATTTCCTCCAATTTCGGAGCAGCATTTCAATATATTTATATCACATGAAAATATTATTAACTACAACAGATTTTTTATCATATAAAAATATCAATTACTTAGAGTTATTAATGGCACTATTATTAGCATTAATAAGTAATCATGTTGTTGATGTTGATGATCATGAGGTGTTATTGCTACACCCTGTAAGAATCATGACAATGCAGAGGTTATGGTCCTCACTCTACACAATTAGACTGCTACTTCTTTTTTGATTTGCATTTTATGAAATATTATAAGTTCTTTTTAATTTCTATATTTCGTACACCGTCATTAGGAGAGTTGGGGGAGGGGTTTTATGTTGGAAGAGGAGGCGAGCTATAGAGCGTGTTTATTTTGGCTTATTTTTAAGTGCTTATTTAAACACTTATTTAAACACTTTTTTAGTTTGTGTGGTGTTTGGCAATACTAAAAAGTACTTAAAATCACTTACTTTCAGGCATGAAAAAGTACAAAAATAAGCCAAAAGCCAAAATTTGTGTATTACCAACTTATTGTTTTTGACTTTTAGCGTAAAAGCTACTTTTTATAAGCCAATCCAAACACCCTCATAGTCTTGTCTCGTGACTAATTTCAATAATTACCATTGGTTACATTTTAAAGCCTACAAAGGTACTACCCATGGGACTTATTTGTAAATGTTCCTTCATATGTGACCATATTGGGCTAAGTCATTCGACTCATTCACATCCAGATCATGAATGTGAAAGAGGCGTGCCGTGTGAAGTGAATGTTCCTTCATATCGTACATTATTTTGTGGTACGACTTTGAAATGGGCTCAACAATAGTAAATACATTTTCTTTATATGGGTGAAGGCTCATTCCCTCTGTTTTTGCACACAATATAATTTTATGTATATTTAAGTGTTCAGATAATAGACACTAAGCTTAGTTTAATTCCAAAAATTAGCTTATGAAGCTTAAGATTCTATAAAGGAGACAATATTGAAACAATACGACTAAGTGGGCGTTTGGATATAAGCATTGTAAAATTTAAAAAAGGTGAAAAAAATTTCAAGTGAAAATAGTATTTGAAAATTAGTGTTGTGTTTAGACATGAATATAATTTTGGATTGTTTTTGAAGTTTTGTGATTGATTTGAGTGAAAATTTTGAAAAACAATTTTTGGGAGTTTTTCAAATTTTTGAAAAATTCCAAAATTCATGTTCGCCAAAATTTTATGGCCAAATATTGATTTAAAAAAAAACGAAAAAATTCTTATGTCCAAACGGGTTCTAAATCTCAACTACAATGAGTTGATATTGCCTAAGTGAAAATATATTTTAGTTATATATCTTGAGTAAAAAATTTATTATGGAAATTCTGTGTTATCTTCTCTCAGTGCCTGAAAGTAAAGAAAAACAAAAACAACCCCATAATATTTACTTACTTACTCCGTTTCAATTTATGTGAATTTGTTTGACTGAGCATGGAATTTAAAAAAATAAGATTTCTAAAATTTATGGTCCTTAGCAAGTCAAAAAGGGTATAGTTTGTGTGTTATAAAATCTTCTCAAATTTAAACTAAATTATTTCCAAATTTAGAAAGAGTTCGTACTTTTTTAACGGACCAAAGGAAATATGTTGATTATTAAATTACCAACCCAACCTGGGTTTTGCAGGTCCGTTAGTTAACGGTGATTTTGAGACACCTCCATCAGGCGGTTTCTCTTCCGGCGATGGATTCTCTGATGGCCCTCTCGTACTCCCCAGCTGGAAAACAAACGGCACAGTGGAGCTAGTGGAATCAGGGCAAAAACAGGGTGGGATGATCCTCATCGTACCACAAGGTAAACACGCAGTTCGGCTCGGAAACGACGCCGAGATAAGCCAAGAGCTCAAAGTGGAGAAAGGCTCCATTTATTCAGTCACGTTCAGCGCGGCTCGCACCTGCGCCCAGCTAGAGTCACTGAACGTGTCGGTGCCTCCGGCATCACAGAGCATCGATCTTCAGACTCTGTATAATGTCCAGGGTTGGGATTCCTACGCGTGGGCCTTTCAAGCTGAGGAAGATGACGCGCGTGTCGTTTTCACAAATCCTGGCATGGAAGATGACCCTACTTGTGGGCCCATTATTGATGATATTGCTATCAAGAAGCTTTTCACTCCAGATAAGTCCAAAGGTAAGGTCACTTCTGTTTCTTATTTGGGCCCATTTCCAGCTGCTTATCACCACGATTTGGTCAAAGATTTGATTCTAATTGAAATATCTATGTGTTGGAGAAAAAATAAGAATGATAAAAAGGAAAAAACAAAATAAGGTTTGGCATAGAAGTACTGCAAATTTCAAAATTAGTTTTGATGTTTTCATAACTTCTCATATTAGAGAGAATTTGAAAAAAATTCAGATGATCAACATGAAGCCGAGAAAAGAGGTGTATTCATTCACCTTCTAGCTAGTTTGTCGATGACTTTAATGCATTTCTCACATGGCTTGTACATGAAACTCGTGATGGATGCATGAACAAAGACATTCTTTTGATGAAGAAAAAAACATGAAGCAGAATCCAACATGTAAATAACTACAAATGTTGCTAACTTGTTCCTTATGTTGGCTATTGGAACAGATAATGCAGTACTTAATGGCGATTTTGAAGAAGGTCCATGGATGTTCAGGAATGCTTCCCTCGGCGTTTTGCTTCCAACTAACCTTGACGAGGAAACATCGTCGCTACCTGGTTGGATAGTTGAATCAAATAGAGCAGTTCGGTACATTGATAATTATCACTTTACAGTTCCAGAAGGGAAAAGAGCTATAGAATTGCTTTCAGGAAAAGAAGGCATTATATCCCAGATGGTTGAAACCAAGCCCAACAAGCCATACAGATTGACATTTTTGTTGGGCCATGCAGGGGACTCATGCAAGCAGCCACTGGCTGTTATGGCATTCGCCGGTGATCAGGCCCAAAACATTCATTACACTCCCAATTCCAATTCTTCATTTCAGATTGCTAACCTGAATTTTACGGCTAAGGCGGACAGAACACGTGTCGCGTTCTATAGTATCTATTACAATACAAGAAGTGATGATATGAGCTCTCTTTGTGGACCTGTTGTGGATGATGTGAGGGTTGAAGTATCAGGGTCTAGCACAGTCAGGGTTTTGGGGTTCGGGTTTATGTTGTGGCTGTTAGTCTTAGTATTGGTTTAAATTGAATAGTAGCTTTCTGTTTTACTCTACATATATGGGATCCAATGTTGTACTACAGCAGGGAGGTTCAGATCGGACACCACCCGCGGCAAAAAAAGAAGTTTGCTGTATTAAATAGCATGTAACTGTATGTCTTCTCAAGTCCAATGTAGTATGTCTTGGTAATTTTGCAATCAAAATTTGAAAGTGCTTCCAGTTTATTAAGGTCAGTAATCTTGGGCTCCTTTATTCTCCTGTGGCGCTATGATAGATAATAGTACAACTACATTTCTATTTGTCACCTTGGCTCTGTTTGCAGATTTCAAAATATTTCATCTATAATTAATCACTTAATAAGAATAGTATTAATCTTCAAAGATCAAAGCTAATTTGTTACTCCTTTTGAGTAATAAAAGTAAGTCAATTCAATTTCAGTCAAGGACATATGTAATTTCTATTGAGTACTACTTAACAGAAATTTGATCATCTCTGCCGAATAGACACCTTCACGAATGCATCTCTGAATGCGTCTCTGCACCTGTTGAAACACCAACTCATTGGCTATAAATTCAAAGGTTTTGTCATTTGAACAAAGGAGTGAACGTGAATGGAATAGGGTGCTAAAGAACATGTGTCAAGATCATGAGCAAGATTTGGACCATTGTTCCAAGATCTTGGGTTTGAGCTATAAAGACTTGCCCACATCATTAAAACCTTGCTTCCTCTACTCTGCACTTTTCCCGGAGGACTATGAAATTCTTGTATTCGATTTGATTAAAATGAGGGTAGCTGAGAAATTCATAAGCCGAAGAGGAGAACTGCATTTGGAAGATGGAACAACTCCGACATCTCCAAAGAGGTGCCCTGTCTTTGTTTGTTCGATTCTCAGTTAATTATTGGGGTTTTGAAGAATCTAATATAGTAACAAGGCACTACCCCGTTGAAGTCAATCTCGCCAACATCCAAACTTTGGAGACAATGGATATATGCTACTGGAACCCCAAGTGGTTATGCAAGGTTGGTGCCAAACTATGAGTACGTCAAGGTTTCATTAATTATTTTTAAACTCACCTTTAAACCGCCGTTTTGATTCTTCGCACACGTTAGGAGTGACATTGTTCAATAACTACCTAAATATATATATATCTTTTTTCAAGCAATACACACTAAATAGGTACAGTCAATTGAGGGTCATTCAATCAACAACAATAACAAGATAGTTAAATAAGTTGAGAAAATCCAATGGCAAATTTATATTAAAAACAACAAAAAATCATCCTCCAAGATGTTTAATCAAACCCTAGATAAAAAAAGTTTAGTTACTCATAATTGTTTGTGTAACTACATTATTAGAATTCATCACCAATAATAGTAAAAGGAAGAAGAAAGATAAAAACTCGTTTTCGAATCTTCCGCCTTGCTCGTTGCTTGTTCTTGCCTTTAAAGATGTTGTGTAACCCTTAAAAAGTTGTTCTTTTATGTATTAATATTCCATAGCGTTTGTATGGGGCGGATTAGTCATTCCAAACTCGGATAGGAAAGTTGGAATTCGCGTCTACGCTCACGCGTCGCGCTCTCATAGACGTGGACTCAGCTTTTGAAATTCTTCCATTTCGCAAGTGATCCGTGCATTTGCTTCACTTCGCTGTTTTGTGAATGCACTTGTCTCCTTTTTCGCGTTTGTTTTCGTGCCATGCGCCAGAATAGACAAGCTCCCAATTCTTCCATCTTTTTCTTTTTGCAACAAACTAACGTATTTTGATCCCTTATCTCATCCGAACTCACTCATGCACACAGGAAACACGTAAGGAGTATATTTCATTTAAAAAACCATGTAATCTCCCATAATTCTTACATAACTAATTCCTTCATAATTAAACCATGCATAACTAAACCCTGCATAGCTAAACGTGCTATTTGTACATCATACCCCTTTACAATTTATAATTTAAGAAAATGATCTTTTTAGATCTCTTACGTGTAAAACACATATCTCTTACGTATAAAAGTAAACCTCTCGTGTGAAAAAAAAAAGAAGAGGTAGAGTCATAAAACTAAAAGCAAATTTGTAAAGAGCCACAAAACCAATTGATCTGCATAACTAATTCTTACATAACTAAATTCTGTATAATTGATTCCTACATAACTAATCTCTATATTATTAATACATGCATAATTCTAACCAGCAACCAAATGTCCATATGGACACTTTTTAAAGTTGAACGTTTGATATTCACAATGGCATGTAGCAGAAGCAAAATTGAAATATTTATAGTAAGGGTAACATTGTTTACTTTTATTAAATGTAGTACGTAATACAATTTTGAAGTGATAAATTCTCTTCTTCTAGGAGTTTGAAAGAATCACCACGATGCTTCCCAATGCCTCGAGAGAGATTACGCTCCTTGTAGAGGTGACAATTTGGATGTTTGGGTTGAAAACAAGTCACGACAACCTAAGCTACGGTTTTGTACTCTTAGCTTAAATGGACTAGAAATGCTCATTAAATCCTTCTAACCACTTCTTACAAAGATCACTTCCTCAACTACATTATGCACACTAGTCAATTTCTAAATTATGACCTACTGTTGCATTAATCAGTACTCCATCCGTTTACTTTACTTATCCACTATACTAAAAATATATTTTTACTTTTATTTGTCTACTATATTAAATATAGAGAAAGACAATTTCTTTTTTTCCTGTTTTAAGCTTGTCATTAATTGTTCATTTTCAAAATTATTTTCCTGTTTTACCATTTTCTTTTATAAAATAAATTCTAATACATGGGGTTATTTTTGTTATTGTAACCGCTAATTTTATTTTTATCTCCGCATAAAATAATATATAAATTCTTTGTACCAAACATTACATTGCCAATGTTTGTTTTTATGCAACGCAAATATCGTAATTACCTTCTAATTGCAGCCGGACGATTCACTAAGAAATCACTTTCTCAAGTCTAAACTACATTAGGCATAGATCTACTGTGCATTAGTTCATTAGTAAAGATACATTATCTAGTTGTAATTTTTGCATTTCTAATAAATAAGTTAAAATAATTATTACAAAACATAAAAACTCGAAATCAGGAAGGTAAGCAAATATTTTAAATCATAAAAATGATTAACGTGTTACAACTATTTGAAAGCTGAACTAAATTGACTAAAAAATGGACTAAATGATTCACATTGAGTAACCAAAGTAAGAAAGTAAAAAAAAAAAAAAAAGAGTCAAAAAAAAAAAAAGGAAAAAAAAGTCCTTTCGTCTCAATTCATCTTTCCTATATATACTTGCCGATTAGCTGGGCGTTCTTTCGAGAGATTCAGGAGAAGAAGAATAACAAGGAAACTAAGGGCGGAGAAGAAGAAGAAGAATAATGGATTTTCTCCTTTGACCTTTCAGTTTTCCAAATAACTTCTCTCCTCTCTCTCCTCGTAACAAAAATGGAAGCAGACGGTGAAGGAGTAATCCCAGTACCTTCACACTCCCACAGCGTTTCATCTCCACCGCATGATGATGATCATCCTGATTTTTCACCTGTTGGATCGCCTGAGTCTCACTTCATTGACGATCTTTCTCAGCCGTCTGATCAACACCCTGCCCAAGTCACCGCCACTCTCCTCACCGATGATCTTCGTAACAAGATCGTCAAGCAGGTTTCTTTTTTTTCTTACGGGTTCTTGCTTTCTTGGTGGTTTTTTTAATGTACTGGTTTTTTTTTTTTGGGTGATTTATTGAGTTTTAGGGTTAATTAAGCTAAAAGGTCCAGACCTGGAGTGAAGTTTAGTCAGTTAGATTGATGATTTGCAATTGGATGGACAATATGCTTTTGAAGTTTGAATCTTTCCCTAAATGTAGATATGTTGGCAGCGAAATTATTCAATTGGATTGATGTGGTTGGTCGGTATGTGTTTTAATATGATTCTTGTAGTTCTTGAGAGTTGAAGTCTTTTGATAAGTTAGGGTTTTTGAATTAGCTGATTAATATTTAAAAGTTAGAAATATTTGCTACGTCGGATAGAAACTGTGGAGTTATAGATTGGGAATTGCTTCATCTAATCTGAGACTTTCGCATTTGATTTTGATAATAAAAATTTGATTCCAAGTATAGTTCTTTATCGTTAGATGTCCCTATCAAGATCACATATGGTTCTTGATATATGAACAGAACTTGAGAAAAGTTTGAAATTTCTAAGTTGTTTGAATATTATAGTTTTGTAAGCTATTCATTTCTCGTAGTTCTGTAGCATATTACTGAAACTTACAAATGAGCTAAGTATATGATAATGCTTGGAGTGGAACTTATAATTTTCTTGTGCAACTGTAAACCCCGGAAAAGAGCCTACAAACAAAGTGGTAAATTGTGCACAATCTTGAATTGTCTGTACTGTAAACTGATATTTCTATGACTCTTTGGTGAATTTTCTGGACTTCTGTATGATTTCTGTAAAAGATCTTCTGCATCTATCAGAATGGATAGCAAATGCATGATTTCACTGTCTTGCAGAAACCTTTCTTAGCAAATGCATTTGTTTTCTCAGATACATACTTTTGTATTCCCATATGAGCATTTGGCTGTGCAAAACCTTCAGATATTAGAGTTTAGCAATAACTCTAGCCGTTTACTATTCCTTGGTGGCTATAGCTTTGCTGCCTGTCTTAGTGGCTAAATTAGTAGTATTAAAAAGCATATAATTTCTACTACATGGTTGTTTTTATTATAAAAGCATGAACGAAGAAAGCATGTCCCTGAAATTTTCTGTGTGTTGCAGGTTGAGTATTACTTCAGCGATGAAAATTTGCCTACGGACAAGTTTCTGTTGAAATATGTGACGAGAGACAAGGAAGGTTTTGGTAAGTATTGGAGCGTATTTATTTATTTATGATGAGGAAGGATCTCATACTGCCTTCATGTTGCTTTCCTACCCCCTCTCTATGTTCACCCATTCCTGAAACTGTTTTGGGGTCTGTATGTTTTATATCCTCTAGTTTCTCTCCTATACCACTGCACTCCACTGCCTTCTTATATCTTAAAATCTCAACTGAATGGCTGTATCTTGCAGTCCCTGTGAAAGTAATTGCTTCTTTTAGAAAAGTCAAGAAGCTCATGAAGGACACAGCAATAATAGCAGCTGCACTTAAGGAATCTTCTCTTCTTGTAAGTCTAACTGCTTCTCATGGACTATGAAGAATGTTGCTTTGTCCTCCTTTTAGTACCTTTTGTCTT